GATGCCCTTCTGGAGCTGAGCCCGTGTGCTTCCCGTAGCATCTTTGCCCCCGAGTGTCAACGGTTCTTACCCAGGACGGTGAGGCGTGCGGGGCGAGACCGTATGGCGGCCTGGATGGCCTGGCACTCGTACACGGCATCATCTTGCAGCTCCGCCCGCAGGATCTTCAGGTGATGTTCCCCTGACAGGTGGTTCCCTACCACCAGGTACTGTGGGTAACCTGTGGAGACAGCAGGCAGGTCAAGGGGGGCGGGGCCGGGGTGGAGGAGGCATTCACGACAAATAGGGGAGGGGGTGGGACATCTGAGGAGGGGCCGTTCTTGGTGTAAGGAGAAAAAACGAGAGCTTTCCCTGGCTTTTGGACAGTGTGTGTGTGTGTGTGTGTGTGTGTGTGTGTGTAGGTTCAGGAATGTTGGAGGAACTATTATCAGAGAGGAAGGAGAGAGCAGAGATGGAAATACCAAGTGTGGGCAGACACAGCGGGGACAATACCCTGCAAAGTGGTGTGCTCAGCCCTGCGGTTTACCAAGCAGACATGCATTTTGATAAGGAGACACACAGAGAGACAGAGAGACCCAGGCTGAGAGCCACAGAGAGCAGACAGAGTAAGAAAGAGAGAGAGAAGAAACCAGAAATCTCTGGAACAGAATCAAGAATGACTTTGGGGGGAAAGTTTTGTTCAGGATGGACAGCAAGTAGAAATCCCAGCCCATCGTACCAATGCCTGGGATCCTCGGGCCCTTTTGAACCATAAAGGGTACTTTTCTGGTCACTCCTCCTACCTACCCCAGACCCCAGGACCTGATTAAGCACTTACGAGGTACTCAGGACACTTAGGAATTTGGGGTCCCCTACACTACCGGCAATGCATAATGGATAAATAAAAATTTGAGAATGAGAACATTAATCAGCTTTCCTGCTGCTGTGTAGGGTGAATGCAAATGCCTACACAAGTCGTGGCTGGCAGGTCCTCTGGCCCAGGCCTTGGGCCCTAGACCTCCGTAGTCTCTCCCAGAAGGGTCTCTTTTCCATCGTGCCCATACCTGAGCTCTGCCTTCCCCCCGCCAGCCTCTTACAGATACTTCCTCCTGCTCTCTTCCTTCCACCCACCCTCCAGCAGCCCAAACCACTCCTCTTTCTGAAAGACCTTCACCAGAACAGTGTGAATTCTCAGAAATGTGCCACAGGAGGAGGGGGTTCGCCATATCTGGCTTTTTAAAGAGAAGATGAGGGCTTAAGCAAGTTGAGAGAGAGAGAGAGACAGAGAGAGAGACGGAAACAGAGAGACTGGGCTATGCAACAGCTCTCCAGTATTTCAGTCTCTAAGTGTGGATTAGACGTGTTCAAGTAGCTCCCAGGGATTGCATTAGCACCACATGGGGAAATACTTTGGAATATTCTTAATACAATTTGAAATGTCCCACAAGGATCTGGGCTGCCACAGGTGGTAATGAGGTCCCCATCAGTGGCTGTATCCAAGCAGATGCTGGTGATCACCTGTTAGGAGCACTGCAGAGGAGATTTCTATTCTAGATGGAATATTGGAGCTCTAACCCCTCCCGTCATAAGCTAAGGGTCTTGCAGAGACAGGGCAGGGCTCCCCAAAGGTGAGCTGTACAGGGGTCACAGGCACTCATTCCTCGGCAGGGAGATAGTGGTGATCCTTCCCAGTAAGTATTCTGGGGGCTTCCTGTGTGGCTGAGCCCTTCATCTCATGTCTTCATGGCTCCATCGTCCCCATCGTGCAACCAAACGGCCCGCCCTGCACAGCTGTTCTGGCCTGGCCAGAGATGCTCACAGGGCAATCAGCTCTACCCCCAAGAGCATCACCTCCCCTCCTGCCCGCCCTTCCTGCCCTCTGCTGGGCTTTGGGAAGAAGCCCAGGTAAGTTAAGCTGGCTCACCCCAGGGCCAGGAGGAGGGGCTGGGAATGGGTTCCAGTCCAGCCCTCTCCCTGCTGCTGCCCTCAATGTAGCTGGCTCACCGCCCCCAACCCTTCCGGCCCAGCCTCTGGATCCCGCTGTCCTTGATTAGTCCCTGGTCTCCTGCAGGCATCTTGGCTGGAGCTTGTGTTTTTGTTGTCTTGCAGGCTATCAGCAGCAGGATTTCGCTCTCATGAGCTGCTGAAAACATCAGTGATGGGTTTGTTTGTATTTGCCTAATTAGGCAACGAGCTGAGATGCTCTCGCAAGGACTGGCAGCATCTTTGGAAAACACAGGCCCAGAAGCATAGATTCTGAGCAAGTTCTAGCTCCTTCCATAGTATCATTACTCTCTCTTGCCGCCCTCAGGGGAAGCAAGATGTTGGGGAATCTGGGTTCTCCAGTCAAAGTGCCTGGGCTCAAATGCCAACTCTGTTACTTCCTAGCTCTGTTGTCTTGGGTAAGTTACTTTAACTTCTTTGTGCTTCGTCACCACTATCGCATGGTGAAGATTAACTGGGATAATCCGTGTTAAGTGTGTGGCACACAGTAAGTCCATTAATGCTGGTTTATTTATTTATTAAAAAAACTTTTTTAGAGAGAGAGAAGCATGAGTGGGGGAGAGGGGCAGAGGGAGACAGAGAGAGAGAGAATCTCAAGCAGACTCCGCACCGAGCGTGGGATGACCCTGGGATCATGACCTGAGTCGAAATCAACCGACTCAGCTACCCAGGTGTCCCCATAAATGCTGGTTTAAAGGAAAACAAAGGTGAGACAGGGTAACCAGAAAGGTCCCCATCTTTAAAAGTGAGAACAGACAGGGTGTTAGGGTTTTGGGGGGTTAGGAGCCAGGATCCCACACATTGAGGTTCGGTATATGTTTGAATCAGTTTCTTTCTAGACTTGTGACTTTGTTTACCTGTCAAAGATAGGGGAGAAATCCTGCTTTTTCTCCCTGTAGATCACTGTAGATTTGTGACATAATGTCTGAGAATTATTTGAGCTTCTTTGATGAAGAATGTTCTATCAGTATGAGGGCCTATATTTATAAATCATTTCCTTTGAATGTTTTTTCCAGCCTCTGTGACCAGAAAGACAGATCTTCACTTAGGGTGTGAATGCTGGTGGATGGAGCCAGGCCACATAGTCAAAACAGAAGAGGACAGACCTGCGGCAGGTTAAAGTCTAGCCACTGTGGGCCTCAGTTTCCCCACAGGAAAAGCTGTGCAGTATTAAGTGCTCTGCGAATACTTGCTGGATTGAATTTTGATCTGTTAGTCTCACTTTCTTGTCTGGGAAGCAAACGGTATTTATTGAGCATGTGAGTCTCTGTCATTATTGTCATGATGCTTTTTCGGGGGACAGGTGATCAAACACAGAAAATACTTTCCCAGGAATTTGAATTTATTGGCTCTGCAAGGACAGGGACAGCCTTATTTGTATCAATGGAGTCAAATCAGAGAGGAAGTCGACCCCAGTTCCTTAAAACCCCATTGACGCAATCCTGATCCCAAAAGTCATTCATGGAATGGATTCCAGAAGGTCAATTTTCCATGAGGTGATGAACATCTGTGGTGACCTGGGGCTTCCTCTTGGCCACCTCTCGGCCAAAAGACCCCAGTCCTTGACCGAAGGCTGCAAACCACTGACTAGGAACCCAGAGTACCTCCTTAACTAGCAAAGATGCTGGACCAAGTTCAGAGCCACGTGAAGCATAAGTGATTCTAGTTTGGGAAGGTGATATCATTCCCCCAGATTTCTCTAGGGTAAGGAAGTTCAGAACCCCTGAAATTGACTGGCTCCCATAATGCTTAAATTTTACGGCAGCACTGTATATTTTGGAGATATTATTGTGTATTTTACCCATGCTCAGCTGGGCTGCAGCACTCCAACCCAGCGATGCTATTGACCACGGCTATAACGTTTCAATATACATTTTTGGCAAGACATAACTCACATTTTAAAATATTAATTTCCCAACCATCATGTTCCCGAGTGCACTTCGATTTTTATTTTCCTGCAGCTGCACGCCACGAGAGAAGCAAAGCTACTTCTCAGTCGAATACGTGTGTTTTTCTACACCTCCACCCTCAGCGGTTCCCCAATGGCAGGGACGCCCAGATCTCTTGTTCTGAATTTTATAGGTTATGCTAAACCCAGCAGTCCCATGTTTACTTTCCCCAGGGGAGAATGATAATTGCTGGGGGCTGAGTGACCAGGAGGATGATGCTATTCTTTTTTCTCCCCAGGGAGAGAGGACGGACTGCAAAGACATCTGTATGAGCTTAAGGACTGACATCCACAGTCGTTAACAGATGACAGGGCCTGTGGCATTGAGCAGGGAGGTCAGATGCCAGCCACAGGAGCCTACTAGGACATCTCTGCTCGCCCCCTGCCTGGGCAGGGGGCTCAACAGGGTTTGTACTTTAAATGCTCCTTCTCTTTTCTTCCCATCACATGCTAACCCCTAAAACCAAGCAGTTTGGTTGTGAGTTTTCAGTTTATTTGGCTCCCTCTGATCGATGGGAGTTAGGAAAAGCCAGGCTGTGATGTAAGTGGGGAATACATTTTGGACCCGGATACGGGGACACTTTACCTTTGGAAATGTGACTTTACAGGAGTCGTGTCTGACTTTAGAATAGACCTTCCGGAGCAAAAGTCTATTAGGTTCAGGACCGACCACCGGAATTGAGGGTTTACTTGTAATTCCTTACCAGGAGTCAGAAGGCCCTTGAAGTCCCATGGATCCCGGGCCCAGGGCTTGCCTAATCTGACCCTGACCAGGGGATATTCCACGAGAGCTGGAGATTTGATCTCCAAGTACCAATGAAGATGGGGTTCTCCCCAGGGGGGTGGGTGGGTCATGCGAGAAGGGGTTCAGGCCTTCCCAGGGAGCTCTTGGGGGTACTCACTTGAGAGGTCCCTGCCCACACCCAGAGCCAAGCCGTCTTTGATCCACAGAACGAAGCCATCATACTCGGGGATGGCGCACAGCAGTGTCACTGGCTGGCCCGACACCACGGCCTGGTCCTGGGGCTGCTGGCTGAAGGAGTATACTTGGCCTGGGAAGGAGACAAGCACAGGGGTCAGTTAGTGCAGGGAGCAGTGCCTGGACGGCTTCTCCTCAAGTTAAGAAGCAGAGCAGCTGGCCCAGGGGATAAGCAGCTCTCTCTCCCTCGCCAGCATCTGACTTCCTGCCTGCAGCCCAGCGGCACTTCCTGTCTGCCCCCTGCTTAACTCCCTGCTCTCAGCAGCTGGCTCTCGGCTCAGCCCTCCTGCTCATCCATCCTTAACACACATTCACACTGTGAGGCGGCCTCCCCCAGCCCCCAAAGAGGCCGTGCCCGCCGTGCTCGGGACGATCTCTGCCACTTTCCATTTGGCTCCTACCTACCGCCACATGCTTGCGCCACAACAGGGCAGAGGAGGAGAGAGCCTTCCAGCTGCAAGCATCCTTGGGAGGTGCCTCAAGAAGGCAAGGTTGGGGGGGAGTGGTGTGGTTTGCTTAAAAACCCGGGAACCTGGGAAAAATATTACTGTTTAATTCGGGCCTACGGCCAAATTCCACAGGACACGTGGTGGTATAGTGTGGTCCAGAGTGTGCTGGCAGGAGCTGGAAGTCACCTCGACTCACCCTCTTTGTCCCTCTCTTTCCGATGGCACACCCAATTCTGGCCTCACTGTCACCTGGGGGACCATCGCCAGGGTGACCCCCAGCTCTCCCCTAGACACCTCAGAGCAAGAAGGCACTGAGCCATCTCAGCAGGTCAGTTCATGTACTCATTTTATTTATTTTTATTTTTCTTTAATTTTTAAAAAATGTTTTTATTTATTTTTGCGACAGAGAGAGACAGAGCATGAGCAGGGGAGGGGCAGAGAGAGAGGGAGACAGAATCCGAAGCAGGCTCCGGGCTCTGAGCTGTCAGCACAGAGCCCGACGCGGGGCTCAAACTCACAGACCGTGAGATCGTGACCTGAGCCAAAGTTGGATGCCCAACCAATTGAGCCACCCAGGTGCCCCTATTTTTTTTTTTTTTTTTAGTGTTTATTTATTTTGAGAGATAGAGAGCGAGTGGGGGAGGGGCAGAGAGAAGGAGACAGAATCCCAAGCAGGCTTCATGCAGTCGGCACAGAGCCCGATGCGGGGCTCAAACCCACGAACAGTGAGATCATGACGCGAGCCAAAATCAAGAGTTGGACGCTTAACCCACTGAGCCACCCAGGCGCCCCAGTTCATGTTTTATTACACAAACACACCCACAGTGCATGCAATATGCCAGGCGTTGCTGTAAGATTTTCGAATGCTAGCTCTTTACTATTTTCATCTTCATAACAAACTATGAGGTAGCTACTATTTTGATCCCTGTTTTCCGGACGAGGAAATGAGGCCCGAGGAGGTAAAAAATATGAACAGAAGCTGTGCTTGATGATGACTTAGCAAGTACTGAGCGTGTATCCCCTTTAGTTGTTACAGTAACCATCACACCCGGATCTCACCAGCCCCAGTTCGCAGGGGCTTGGAGGTTAACTAAATCATCTGGGAATTGTCTCCCGGCAGGACTAGGGCTGTAGACGAAGACTTTCTGGCTCTGAAGACCGTGTTTTCACCTGCTGAGCTGTGCTGTGCCCAGATCCCTAAGCTGGTCCTGCGGGGAATGCTGAGGAAGCAGGGTGATGTGATCCCTCTTCCCCGGGAGGCCACAGCCGAACGGACAACAGGACACCGACATTTCCTGAGCCCCCGACCCACAGTGGCCTCCATTCCGTTACCTGCATAGTTACATTGCAGGGCAGAAATATCCCAATTTTACGGCAAAGTAAACAGGATCAGAGAGGCAAAGTAAGCTGCCCAAGATCACACAGCTAATGAGCGGTGGAGCTGGGGTTCGATGGAGGTCCATGTGGCTTCCAAGCCCGCATTCTTTCCCACGCCCTGCCTGGCAGATACAGATACACGCTGAGGGAAGGTGGACCTGGTGGGCGGGTTGTTGCCACGGCCTCTTCTCCCCAACGTGGGAGAGTCAGGGACAGACACGGAGGTCCTGGATGCTAGGTGTTGCCCATCCTGGGGACACAATACCCCAGGCTTGGACCACAGGCGAGGCCATGCTCTTAGCAGCAGACGGCCCCAGTAAGGGGGTGACTGACATATACAGAACCCAAGGGAAGCTGGGCATGGTGGCCAAGTGGGCGCGGGGGCTCCCCGAGAGGAGCCGCGGAATCCACATCAGAGAACTCATGGCAGGGGGGAAGGTAGCCGCGTTTACAACCTGATGAGATCTTGGCTGGGTCTCTGAGGAGTCTCATTAAAAATCAAATTGGCCCTGAATTGTGGGAGTAACACTTTTTATTCTGATTTGAGCTTTACAAATTAGATTTCATAGGACATTTTAATCAGCTATGTGTGGTGGGTTTATTTATTTCTTTCCTCTCAGTCTCTTCAAGTTCTCTGTTGTAATTAGACCGTTTCTGGCACCAAAGCAAGAGAGAAAGAAGGAGAAAGAGAAGGGAGAAGAGAAAGAAGTGGGGGAGGGGGGCAGGTAGCTGGGGAAAGCGGAAGAGGACTGGGTGAGGGGAGGGAAAGGGGAGGGTTGGAGAGGCCAGAAGGGAGACAGGGAGGGAGGAGGTGGGGGAGGAGGGGGGGGGGGGGGGGGAAAGGGGGGGGGGGGGGGGGGCACTCCTTTCTGAGGCTCTGTTTTCCCTGGCTCGATGATGATTTCACAGCTCCTTCTTTTATATCAAAATCTTTCTTGCGAGAAAGACAGTGTCAAGACAGCCGCAATGGCTGCCAGAGATTGTGTTCTCAGAATTAGCAGGTTGTCAGCTGGGGGCGGAGGGGTTAGATCGAGAAGGGCCCCAGACAAATGGTGTGGAGCCTGCAGTGGGAAGTGTCACCTTCTCCCACCTCCAGTCCCGCTTCCTCTGGGTGTGGGGGAGGACAACAGAGAATGGGGGTACAGGGAGCATCCCGAGGGGGTGCGGGTGGGGTGGGGGTGAGCCCTGGGTGGTGCGGGGAAAGCGGAGGGTGGGAGCAGGGCCGTGCCCTGAGGGAGGAGAGGGGCTGCCATCAGGAGACTGGCCCTGGAGGAGGACGCTGAGTGGTCACAACCCACTTTGGATAGTGTCTCAGAGCCAGGAGTTGGGGCAGCTACAAGATCCCCCAGGATAAGCCCTGAGCCCACAGAGAGCAGCCAGGAGGGGCAGGGAAGAACATACCCCCAGGCTTCAGAGAGCTTTGGGCACCCACGTGGGGTCTGTTTGGATCCCTTCGACTTTTCTATGGAAAGAATGTCTCTGGGACACCTGGGTGGCTCCGTGGGTTAAGCATCCGACTTCAGCTCAGGTCAGGATCTCGAGGTCTGTGAGTTCAGGCTCCGCGTCGGGCTCTGTGCTGATGGCTCAGAGCCCGGAGCCTGCTTCGGATTCCGTGTCTCCCTCTCTCTCTGCCCCTCCCTGGCTCATGCTCTGTCTCTCAAAAATAAATAAATGTAAAAATAAAATAAAATAAAATGAAAAGAATGTCTCTGGGTGGGGCAGGGTGGGGAGACAGATACACAGGAGAACAGCCTCAGAAACACCACTCAAACGACATTATTCACCCATTCAGTTTTTGGGAGGGAAGGATTGGTGCTCTGACAATTTCCTTTTTCAATCTAATTTTATTTTCTGTGCATTAAATACAAGCCACTAGGAATATTTTTTCTTTCAAATCAATGAGATGCTTTTTCTTTTTTTTTTTTTTTAATTTTTTTTTTCAACGTTTATTTATTTTTGGGACAGAGAGAGACAGAGCATGAACGGGGGAGGGGCAGAGAGAGAGGGAGACACAGAATCGGAAACAGGCTCCAGGCTCTGAGCTATCAGCCCAGAGCCCGACGCGGGGCTCGAACTCACGGACCGCGAGATCGTGACCTGGCTGAAGTCGGACGCTTAACCGACTGCGCCACCCAGGCGCCCCATGAGATGCTTTTTCAAACAGAAGCATGAGTGGAGTGTCACTATCTACAGCAGATAAAAGTCACGGTGCTGTGGGTGGAGGGGACATGGAGGGACGCGGCATGCTGTCTTTTCACCCATAGGGCACACCTTGAGGCTTCTCTTTCAGGCTTAAGCGCCTCTAGGAACATAGTGGACAAGCCCCCGTTGTCGTTTCTTGCCCAAAAGGTAGTCTTCACCCAGTCCCTCATATCCCGTTTTCTGCTCCCTGTCTTTCCTACTCTGAGGATGTGAACTGCAAATGAGCCTGGGATCTTTTCTAGAACCTCCTGGGTGGTATGGTAAGCAGCCAGGAAGCTCCTTGAGAACATCTGTTGATTCACACATTTATTGAGACCTGGTATCAGGCAGGCATCGCACGGTCTCCTGAGAAGCAGACAGATACGACGTGGTCCTTCCCTCCAGGAGCTAACGTCTGTTCACCCACCACACCCAGACGGCTCTGATCTGGGCACAGAGCATGTGCTGCACAGACTCGACACCCCTTGCACCATCCATCCCAGGATTTCTGCCTCAGTTTCTCATTGTGCCCCCTGGCCTTCTTCTGCAGTGAAGCCTGGCAGTCAGGGTAACCTCCTTTTCCTGCTTTGTTTTCAATCTGTCACCATCACCAAGTGTGGCCCAGCCCTCCCCCACAGCACCTCTCAGACGCACCCTTTCCTCTCCATTCCTATGGCTATAATCCGAAGTCTGGGCCCTCACCACCTCAACCTGGCTTCTTTCAACAGTCTGTGAATGCCTTCAGGTCCTGCCCTGGAGGGTTCTTCCTAAGGCACCGTTTTCCTCATGTGCTCTCCCTTTTCTAAGGGTGGAAACTCTAATGGCTTCCCACTGCCCACAGGCACCTGACAGGCTTCTCCAAAATCTGACTCCCTTCTCTCTCGGTGCTCAATAGTCACCTGTGCCGGCCGTTCACTCATGTTGTCCCATGTCACCGGTGTTCTGCCATTCTGGAATCACCCCTCACCCCTCTCCCAGGGTCTCCCTGACCAGCCCTGCCCGCACGGAAGGCCAAGTTCTTCTCCATGAGCTTTGCCTGTATCTCTAGGCACTGCCTGTCACCGAAGGGGGATCTTCTCTCTTCTCCCCTCTTCCCTACTTCCCCATTTTTCTTCCTTCTTATCTCCCTTAATTTCTTCAAACCTTCATTGAGCACTTACTGTATATCAGACACAGAAAGGAACCGAAGTAAATGAGAAACGGAGGGTAAACTCTTGAGGGTAGGGGCCACGGCTGTCTTTTTCATTCTTGTATTCTCAGCACCTGGTCCGGTGTGTAAGCAGCAAATAAACTCAACCTTGTGACCTTGTGGCCTACCTATGCTAGTTTGGCTCCTGAGATCTGCGGTCATGAAGGAAAACTGTTTTTATGATATAAAGTACTGATTAGGCAGGTATTGTGCTGAGCACACTACACGGAAGGAGGGAAGTGAGAAATCAGGGGAAAGGGACAGCGTCTCAAGGAGTCAGGCTTTACAGGATAAAAATAACTGAATTATTCATGGAAGACCTACTTTAACCAATTCTTGCTAGTTAGGGGTTACTATCCACATTTCACAGATGAGCTGAGGCTCCTAGTGGGTCCAGATGCAATTCAAGGTCACCCAGTGGGCCTAGGTGTCATTCAAGGTCATGTAGTGGGCCCAGGTGCACTTCAAGGTCACACAATGGGCCCAGGTATAATTCAGACCCCAGTGTCTTTTTTTTTTTTTTTAATTTTTTTTTCAACGTTTATTTATTTTTGGGACAGAGAGAGACAGAGCATGAACGGGGGAGGGGCAGAGAGAGAGGGAGACACAGAATCGGAAACAGGCTCCAGGCTCCGAGCCATCAGCCCAGAGCCCGACGCGGGGCTCGAACTCACGGACCGCGAGATCGTGACCTGGCTGAAGTCGGACGCTTAACCGACTGCGCCACCCAGGCGCCCCCCCAGTGTCTTTTTTTAAATAAGAAAACCCTGTTTTCTTGCCACTATCCCATGTTGGTTATTAAATGAAGGGTCTGGAACTTGCATTTTTATTTATAAACTTGTATTCACCCCAATCAACCCCGCAACCATTCCCCTCAGACCCTCTAAAGAGAGGATGAGGATCTTCGGAGCAGAAAGCAATTTCTTGGTTCTCCCCTAAGTTTACATAGCCTCCTGCCAGCTGGTGGTCAACAACACTAAGTCAGGGTCCAGGGTGGAGTCCAGCACTGGCCACTGTGGGGGAATGACAGGAGGTGTAATAATTATTGGTACTTATTATTATGTAAATAGTCATTATCTATATAACTATGTTATTATATAAATACATATAACTAGTTATGTATTACAAATAATATTTTTATTGTTATAGAATTACTAATAGCTAACTTTCTTTTTAAAATTTTTTTAATGTTTATCTTTTTAAAATGTTTATTTATTTTGAGAGAGAGAGAGAGACAGAGTGCGAGTGGGGGAGGGGCAGAGAGAGAGGGAGACACAGAATCCGAAGCAGGCTCCAGGCTCCGAGCTGTCAGCACAGAGACCCTGGGAAGTCACAGAACCCACCGGAGACTGCACTCTCTCTTGCCCTTGACCAGGACTGAAAAGTCTAAGGGAAACTCTAAGGGAGGGCCTGATGGAAACACACTTGGTGGGTCAGACGGAGTGAGATGTGGTCCCAGTGGTGGCTGCGGGCACACTTTCCTGTCGGCTGTCCCAGGAAGGGAGAGGCCCTGCAGAGCCCCCGAGGTGACTGTGGGCAGCCTGCACGCTCCCTGCATGCCCAGGCTGCTGCGGACTTTTCAGGCCAAGAGGGCACCTTCCCAACACTCCAGCTGGGCCTTTAGGACACTGAACTTGGGAGGGACCTGCTTCTCCCTACTGGGCTCAAGAGGAGAAGTGCCAGCCTCAAGGTCCTGCAGTGGCTCAGTGGGGATTAGAGCCTGGCTCTGAAGGCTCCCAGCACGGAGACCTCCCTCCACCTGCTCAGCAGGTGGGAAGCAAGAGTCTGGAGGCCAGGTGGGGCCTTCTCTTCAAACTGCAGGAAGCGGGAGCGGTAGCTGGCTGGGAAGGTTTCAGAGGAGGGCGGGCTCTGACGCCCCATCCTGATGAGCCATGTGTGCCCCCCATGTGGCAGGTTCTGAGTCAGGACGGCTGCAGCGAGGCAGGCGCTGGTGACTGGCAGGCGGGAGGAGGTATGGGGGTGACACAGCGGCGGCAGGTGGCAGGAGGGCTTTCAGCTCTTCCGTGCTGAAAAGGACAGGTGCAGGTGCAGCCGGCCCGGGGAGGTGGCATCCGAAAGCCCCTGGAGGGCTCTGGTCCTGGGGCAGAGCGCCCCCGCCCCCACCACAGCACAGCTCAGAGACCTCCCCTCCTGCCTCCCTGCCTGCCCCATCCTCCCGCCAGCTGTTTCCTTCTGCTCTCTGCTCAGG